GAGCAACAGGAATTATGTATACAATTTTCTGCAAAAAGGCATCCAGTGCATAATCTTGAACAACAAAGTTATCGAATGAATGAAAATAATAAATTATAGTTTCTTATTAAGAAGTATATCAACTAATTTTCCAGGATAATGCAATTTCATTTTTGTGTTTGTTACAACTTTGAATATGAGACTGTGCCTGTTTTTACATGCCAAAAGAGCTGTTTATAATTTTTATTTTAGTTACTTGAAGGTTATGATGTGACAATGAAGAGCTATTTGACTTGCATGTTGCAATTAATGGAAATATTTTTACGTAAGGTGATAATGTTTGTGATCAACTCTCCTTAGATGTAAGACAATATTAAAACCATGATCTGCAACGATTTTTAATTAACATTAAATCTGATATGTAATAAAATTAGTAAATATATTTTTAATTTATCAATTTTTGTAAATAATATTTTTATCAGAATTATATACTGCATGGTATTTGTTTACTTTTGACTATATTTCATAGAGTGAAACCAGAACTATTTAAATTTTTTCCTAATCGGTTACCTGATGAAGGCATTATTTTCTTATCTATTGTTTTACCAAGTTTAAAAAAAAAAAAATTAAATGGTTATATAAGACAACTGTATTCAAAGAAAATAACAATATATGAATTCAATCAATAATTAATAAAATTGGCCTTTTGGCTAAGATCAAGTGTAATAATTAATAAATGTTTCCATAATAAGAAAAAAAAGTGAAAATATCTTCAGAAAATCCACTGAAATACTTGATTTTCATTATTATATCAATTCGACTATCTAAAAGCTAATGAAATGTGACTTTAAAAAGAAACTTTTATTCCTAATTGAATAGTACCTTTGGATATGTGGGTAATTAAATAATTAAACACTTTAAAAGAAACATTTAGGGCCGGGGATTTAGCTCAGTGGTTCCGCTGCCTGCCCCGCAAGCAAAAGGACCTGAGTTTGATCCCTAGTACCAAAAAAAAAAAAAAAAAAAACAATTTCAATTGAGAATATCTACAATGTAGAAAATTAAAAATAGTTTCTTATGAGGATACCTGAAATAATTAAATAATTTGGTTGTTCAGCATAAGGGAAGTTTTGGTGGAAATGTAGATAGCCTTCTTTTTAACTAAAATTATTTTTTCAGGAAGCCTTGATATTTTCACTGAAGGGAAGTTAGTTTCATGGTGGAGATATGTAGCATGCCTGCATTATTACACTATAAATTCATCAAACTATGCTATTGTGTGAATTTGCTCAAGCATACAACTACAAAAATAAATATGCATAATAAAGAAGTCATTAATGAATATGTGTAAAAAGACCTGCATGTGTAGTTTATAATATAAAGGAAAGAGAATAGTTTGTATATTCAAAATACAACATTTCCAAAGTTATAGAGCTTTCAAAATGAATTACTAAATTATAAAGCAATTATTGATCTAGCTTAAAATAAATAACAAATAATTTAAAAATTCATCTATAATCTACTTATAGTTTTCTAAACTTTTCTACAACAAATGTGTATTACACATATAATTAAAAAAAGTCTATAGCTACCCTATAATTTAAAAGAATCATACTTCTAATTCTATAGTAAAAGGCGAAAGATTTATACAATCTGAAGAGAAACCAGAGCATACTTCTAATTCTAAATACAACATTGAAACACAGTTGTCATGTGTGAACATCCATAATAAAAGAAAAAACAAATTGCACTAAAAAAGTAATTTTATATGACATGTACAACTTTACATTATCACAGTACTTTGAAATCTAAATAATATTTAAAATAAACAATATTAAGCTTTACAAAATCTAAGAAATCATGTCTATTACACAAGAGCATGTATAGGAAGCATTTATAGTGTGGCTTAAATTCACACAAGATTACTTAAAATGTTTTTCCTGTATCATATCTCTTGAGATGAGGCAACATATTATACCTAGCTAGACGCACAATTACAGTATGTAATTAAACAGTGAGGAACACAGATGACTAGAAACATGAGGCACCAGTGTTTTGTGTTGAAACAGGAGTTATAAATATTGTACAAAATAGTGATTGATTGAATCTAAATTCAACTTTTGAAAATTATTCTGAAGTATATAAATTTTATTGGCAGTGTGGACAGGATGGTCAATAGAGAAAACAGAAGATATACAGAAAACTTTAATTAATAGACGAATTTAAATTTGTTTTTATAATTGTACATAAAGACAATATCAGAAATATAATTGCTTATGTGTCATACTGTTAAAAATAAATTTTTATATTTAAAGTAAAATGAAGGACTCTTTTTCACTTTTATTTTCAGTGTATGAACTGTGGTTTTTAATAAAAATAATACTTCTTCAGAGTGTTTGCAGGGGAAAAACTACACAGTACTTTTGACCTCACTATTTATTCTACTTAGAATTAAGGAAAGTTCACAAAAAGTTATTTTTCTTTGTCTATAACTGCTAGTTTTAAGAGTTGCTGTCTTCTTGCTTTTTCCTATTCACTGACTAAACTAAGAACCATACACACTTTTAAAGACACTTTTAATGCCAACAAAGGGATTGGAAGATATCTGAGACCTCATGTTATAATAATGATAATTAAATTAAAAGTATTACCAAATCAGCTGCTAAGAAGGAAACAAGTAGAGAAATATCTATTTCTGTTCTCTTTGGCTTTTGTTAAAAATTAGTTTCAATGCCCTCCATATTGTTCTCAAGTGCAAATATTGCCTCAAATAAAAGGAAAGAATAGATCAAAGATAGTTAAAAGTGAAAAGTAGAGTCTATTTTCATCCATGGTTCAATTTTAATACTGTTAAATCTCACCATTGGGTAAATATTTTCACACAAAGATCTGGAAGGAAATCAGATTAGAAGTTTCTTGCTCAAAAAAGCTGCATTCTGAGAGATGGAGTTACTTATAGTTTTAAAAATAAATTTTTTATTTTCATGTTCTGCAAAGAAGACACTCATAAAACCATGGAGGAATGTTTTAATAGATTCTAGATAATGATTTCAAGATATTTTAATCTACATACATACAGAGGAATAATTAGGAATTATTCATAAACAAAATTAAATGTAAAAAAAATGAGGTACCTGCCCTTAGCTCACAAGAGTGTGTAGAAAGGGAGGGATCAGATTAGTCATGACACAATCATTTAAAATGCATTTATGTAATAATTGTATACACAAATGATCATGAAGCCAAGGTACTATATTTTGAGACACTAAAACTCCTGATTTACTTTTGGGATCTCAGTTTAATTACAATTACATTGAAACTGTAGATTTTAGAAATCTCACGCTTAAAATATCTTAGTACCTGCTGTGAACTGACTTTAGAGGTATACTAAATTGGCTAAATTTTCACTTTTTCAGGGAAAAATTTGTGTCACACTGAAAAATTTAATTTATCAAGAAAAAATGTTGTAGAACTGCAAAGTTGTCCTATGTGATTATCTTGCATGAAGGTAAACTTAACTTTTAAGTATTTTTATGGTAGTTGTTTATAAGTATGTAATATAAAATGGCGACTTACATGATATTTCTCATTGCTAGTAAAAGTAGTTACACTCAGAAATTATAATCAACTATTTACTGTTTAACAGTTTGATAGCACATACATTCAAGGAACTTGATATCATTAGAGGTACAAAATTCACTATTGAGTCAATGAGAACATAAATTTTAACACAAACTTATTTAAAATATTACCTATACTTTAAATATCCAGGAGTTATAGTAATTTGAAATGCTAAAATACATGAACCTTTTCTAAATACTTTTACATCAAAGAATATTTTAAATAATACACTAATTTTAATGTACATAACTAAGAGAACAATTCTGCCCATAGATTTCAATGTCAAATGATATATAAGTAAGAATTTGAATGAAAATTCAGGAAGCATATGCTTTGACATGTTATATCATAAAAGATCCTTTATACTTCCTTTTTGTCCTAAGAAATTATTAGTTTACTTTTTAATTCTATTTAGTAAGTGATAAGCAGCTTAAAGTGTATAGTATAAAATTGGAACATGTTATTTGTTTTTCAATAAAATATAACATCTATCCAATTTGAGGTATTTACTCATGTAGAAAAGGAGTTAATCAAATTACTGTGAAAAGTTAAAAAATTGTAAAAGGCAAATAACTTAATACTATGACACATAGTCATTTAAAGCCATAAAAATAAAATGTCTGTTGATTTACTCTAACAACTTAAATTTTCCCTAGATAGTTTCAGAATTAAACTATGATAATTTTGAAACAAACTATCTCAATTCTTGTTTTTCTACTCTCATATGACTGGAGTTATGTTTCATAATAAAAGAAATATCAATTTTTTTATTATCAGGGATTATAAAGAACTTTATGTTCTTCTTTTGGTATATAAAAATAGAAAGAACTTCTTTCTCTTCAAAATTTATAGAAAAATGAAACTTGATTACACCAAAAGTAAGTTTTAGTTAGTTCCAAAGTAGTGGAAAAATGCGATTAAAATCAACATAAAAACCCCAAAAGATTACTTTCTACCATCCAAATTTTTGGCAGAGCAGTATGCAATTACAAGTTTTTTTGATGAAATTTTGTTAGTGTGTATTTTCAAAACATTGGAACAAATATTTTTTTTATTTGGTCTTAAAAATATCTTGTGCCCTGGATAACTTTCAGAGGGTAGCTTGGGTAGTTCCGCCTCACTTTCAAACTCCCAGAGATGATATTTAAACTTTTCAGCAATCAAACAGGGCAAGTAATTCCATGTTTTGTGATAGACATAACATCAGTGTGTACAACAAGAAAATATTATATTACATCACAGTTATAGACATTCATAGGAAGCAAACAGAGATACAGAATGATAAAACTCTGTTAGTGAAATGCATTGTTTCATATATTTTTAATTTCAATTATCAGATTACTGCTAAAGAAAGCACAAGGTTCACTGGGACATCATTTTTAAGGTGGCTTTTGGTTTGCTTGTTTTTATAATGGGAAATCCAGATTATAAAATTAATGATCTTAGCCAAATTTTGAAATCACAATTCATTGAAATATTTTGGTAAAGGTATGGAATTTGCTATTGCTAGAAAGTTATATCTCACTGCAGATTTCAATAGTTGATGTCCTGGAATCAGTCTAGGACAAGAAAAATAACACGTTATCAAAATCAGATGGTTGTGTTCTACAAATCTCATTTGCCAAGCATGCTACATGGCTAAAATTCACATACCAAAGTACAGATGCACAAAATCAAAGTTATTAAATTTAACCATAGTGACTACTAATCCCATTCCAGGGTAATTCAGACGCTGTTACCATTTGAATCCATGTATCACATCTACAGCATGACTTCAGCCATGAGTTACAACTGTCCAAACCTTTCAGCATTCTTTTTACATCATTACCATAATTGTGAGATTATTCAACTCAAATTATGGAAATTTATTAGAATATTTTTGGAGTTGGAGAAATGAATTAACTAAATACATGCCTAAGACTGATATATAGAAGACCCCTCAAAAATAGTACTTTCGGGGCCAGGGATTTAGCTCAGTGGTTCCGGCGCCTGCCTCGCAAGCGAAAGGTCCCAAGTTCGATCCCCGGTACCAAAAAAAAAAAAAAAAATTGCACTTTCTATTTTTCAAATGTATGGTTTTCAACATATTTTAGTGGAAGAATTGTGCTAATCAGCTCTTCATTTTGACAATGTATTTCTTATATATAAAAATTAACAAATTTTTTTCTAAATTAGTTATTTATACTTAATAATTTTTAGGGCCATATGAAACAAATATTATAGGCTTGCTCTAAAAGGTATTAATAGAAGATCATCTGTGGATTTGCTCTCTTAAATTTTGACTACAAATATATGTGAAAATGTTTTCTATAATGTAAAAACTTAGGCGAGGGAAGTTCATCATGTTTCGTGTAATAGGTGCACTACTATACAATGACAGCTCTGTATTTTTCTGAACAGCCAGTTGGAAAAATTAAATTCTATAGAAAATATTTGATTCCCTTTTAAAATGTAAAATTTTTGATAAAACTCCTTGTATCTTACAGCTACTAGGACCCTTTTATTTCTCTGCATTTCTTTTATTTCTTTTCAGGTGAATATTGAAACAAATGTAAATATCATCCTAAACCCTCCTTCTGAAAATATATTTCTCTGTCTGTTTAAAACAAAGTGGAATATTTGTGACATTTGCTATCAGTAATATTTTATTTCACTGGCTGAATTTCCTTAAAAATGAATTTTTATTTTATTAACACATACTTCTATTTTATATGACTTTTTAAAAAAGACATATACTGTATTTGAATTTTTAAATACATAATTTCTTTTTTAATATTCATTTATCTCATTAGCATTCAGCAATAGTGAAAATAAGATTCTTCTTCTGGAATTAATCATAAATTGAAAAATATACAGAAAGAGTAAAACCATAGCATAGGTAGCATAAAATGTAAACATCCAAATAGTTTTTAGTATTCAATTAGACTGCCTAAGTTCACAAACTTATATTGAAATGATAGCAATAAGTATGAAACAACTGTGAGTCAATGACACAAAATATACAATTTTTTAAAGATGTGAGGAAATAATAACTCACTGATTTTAAGACAGTCCTTTTAGTTAATTAAAACGTAATCAGTAACTCATTCTCAGCACTTCTCATACTTTGTCTAACTCATGAAGGCATTTGTCCTATGTTTAGCGAAAAGCCTCTTAACTGTATAATATAAAATATCATGGGACAGGGTTATTAATTTAATGAATGCCATAAAAATTGAAAAATATCAAAAATAAGAGAACATTTGAAAAATACTTAATCTTTTCTTTTCATCCTTGCATTGTTTACTGTCTGTTCATATCAAGTCCAGCTCATAAAATATCTCTGAGCCTTCAAAATCAGTAAAAACCAAACTTTGCTGTATTAACTATGTTTGTGAGCCAATCTAATAACAATGATAACCTACAAATGTGATTCACAAACTCCACCCTTTGTATGTTTTTCTAAGGAAGTCATAAATTTAGCCTAAAAAACGCTAAAAATAGAACTAAGATTAGAAAATAGCTACATTTTAATGGCTAAATATAAATGAAAACACATCCGGAGAAGATATTAAGCATTTATTATGTGTGTTGCCCATCTATGACCCAGCAGTGTAGAAAAACATTGAACTTATTCAAATTGTAGATGAATTGTAGCATAAAATCATTCACAGCATAACAAGAATTCTATACAGAAACAAAGGCTCCATTTTACTTTCTGTAACATCATTTAATTGCAGATCTATTGAAGCAAAAAATTCACCCACAACTGAATCAGTACCATACCTTCACTCTATGATTAAAATAGAAACGTTAATATTATTATATATTATTTAACTGTGCATATCCTTGAATGATTTGCATTTTTAAAACCATCCAAAAGTATGGGACATTCTTTGCATGGTTATCTTAAATGTGGTAAATGTCTTCAATATCTCTAACTATTCATGAGAGGACATCTATTTTGACTTTTACAGTACAACTGTTTTATTAAGCCTGAAAAACTTTTCTAAAGATTTTATATACTGCAGCTGAGATAAATGCTTCTCTAAGAGGTACATAGGCAAAATAATGAAGTCAACATGTGGCATGACTCAGAGAGAGAAAAATAAAAGTAGATAAATTCTGTCACTTACCATTATTAAAAAGTAATAGTACTTTAGATTTTCCAGATAAATTTATTTTCATTTATACATCAAATACAAGTTTTAAGAACTGCTGTATAAACTCTAGTTTTTATATTGGGCTTTAAATTATTGTGCAAAGATATATCGAGTCTTATTATGTTCTTATTTCCCTTTGTGCCCATTATAGAAAGCAAATATACTGCATTTTCCAAAAATCACTACATTTTAAGAATGTCTTCTGATGGGTTCTGAATATCTTGTATAAATATGCAAATGCTTAACTATTTAGTTAAAATAGAGATTTCACATATATTTCATTCTTGACTGGAAGACAAGAATGAACATGCCATTATTTTTCTAATCCCACTCTTCCATATATATATATATATATATATACATATATATATGTATACGTATATACTGATATATACATATCAGTATGATTTTGAGCTCCTAATTTGAAAATTACACTGCTTTCAAGGGTCTGGGAAGCACGTTGAGGTATGGAGGATGCATATCTTGGTGTCATTTAATAGCTTTGGGAAGCCACAGATTTTCCCCAATTAAGCTGGAATCATCAACACCTTTAAGAGCTGCTTATCAGATTTAAAAAACTTTGTGTGAGGTAGATAACTCCAACTTTTCTGATGCCCATTCACACAGTGGTAAGTAGAGCAGTGTTAGAAGCCTTCTTATGGAATTTTTCTGGTTTACAGGCATCATACTGCCACCTGTAGACAAAATTGCCCCTATTATGACCACCATCCTGCATTTAAATTTCCTACAATAATCACTTATTTTGTTCTGATTTTTTATGAAACAAATAAATTCATGTATTTATTTTTTACATTATGATTACATTTATCCCTCTTTCAAGTCAATAGATTCTATAAAGTTTTACATTAGTTAGTTGAAAATTATAAATTTATAAAGACAGAAAGTTTAGTTAGAAATTTAGATTACCTACCAGTCTGGTGTGTACAGACACAGGGGTCTTGAATGTTGCCCCTGGATAGCTGCACTCAGAAACACTGTAGGGATCAGAACTGCTGGAGGAACACTTGGAGATGGAATCGCAGGCCATGAAGGTATTATCTAGGGGCAGTTCTTGGATGATGTGGTGTTTCGAATTCAGGGGAGTTTCAGGTTGGATCTGAAAGGCTGGCTGTGGAGAGGCAGATTTGTAGTGCTGGGCCAAATCAGGACTATCAGGCTTGAAGGTAGTTGGCGTAGTGCCCCAGTTGTATTTGCCCATGTGTTTTTCTTCCAGCTCAATGGGAAGGTCTAGTGTGACACCATTTCCACCATTATTAGCATCATCTGTCTTTGTTTTTTCAATAGTGACAAAGTTAAGCAACAAGTTTTGGGGGGCATGCGTCTTCATTTTCCTCTTCTTTTTCTTCATCACTCTCATCTGCCTATTTTCTGGGTTTGGAGTAACCCATTCAGAATTCTGCTTGTTTTTCTGAGCAGATTTAAGCTGTGGTGATTGGCAACATCTTACTACAGCAGTGAGGAAAATTATTAGGATGACAGTTATGGTTCCAGCAATAATGGCAACCATGATTTTAACATAGTCACTTGTTGTTAGGGATGCATCAGCTGTTTCAATATTCTGGGTCACTGGTGTTTCAATGCTTTTGTGGACCAATTCATGAATCTGTGTCACATTAGAAACTGACTCATTCACAAACAGATTGACAATTACAACACTGAAGAGAGAATCAGGTTGTCCTAAGTCCTTAACTTTAACTACTAGTCTGTGTAAACCGAGGTCTGCAACAACACATCTCTCTTTCAGTGTGATATTGCCTGTTGTTTGGTCAATTACAAAGAGTCCTTTTGTGTTTCCTCCTACAATACTGTAACGAAGCTCTGAATTCATGCCAGTGTCATTGTCAATGGCAACTACCTTGAAGACGACTGTTCCCGGATTAGTGGATGGAAGAACCAATTCATAGGAGTGGTTAGAAGGAGGGACAACAAAACCTGGTTTGTTGTCATTGACATCAACCACATTTATGGTCACTTTAGCAGTTGAAGAATGTGATACCCTACCACCATCCTCAGCCTTTACATAGAAAGTGTATGATTCTTGTTTTTCTCTATCAAATGAAATATTTGGCCTGATGACACCTGTCTGTGGATCAATGGTGAACTCATCACTCACATCTGAAATGGAGAGGGTAACTGCAGAATTCTCTCCATAATCAGGATCAGTCACAGTAATTAGTCCTACTGTGCCATGCCTTGGAAGGTTTTCTGGGACATAGAAGTTGTACTCATTGTGAGTGAAAATTGGGCTGTTATCATTCTGATCAAGAACAGTCACAAAAACTGTGGCATTGGTCATTAAGGGTGGCATCCCATTATCTTTTGCCAGAACAGTGAAATAATATTTTTCCTGTTTTTCTCTATCTAGTTTCTTCACCACAGTTAAGATGCCTGTACGACGATCCAAGTTGAATTCAGATGGAGCATCCATACCCAGAAGGTAACTGATCTCAGCATTATGCCCACTATCTGTATCTGTTGCACTTATTTTTGTCAATTGGGTGCCAGGGGAGTTATTCTCAGGAACAGAAAGACTTATAAAAGGCTGAGTGAAAATGGGAGCATTGTCATTTTCATCTTTCACTTTGATGAGGAGCATGGATGACTGATTCAAAGGGGGTTTGCCAGCATCAGCAGCCAGTAATTTAATGGCATATTCTCTTGTAGACTCATAGTCAAGATATGCAGCAGTCTCCAGGAGGAACTGATTACTGAATACTGGCCTTAATCTGAAAGGAACTTCATGATCTGTGAAGCATGTCACCCTACCATTGTGCTCAGCATCCTTATCGGTCACAGTTATTAGAGCAATTTTGGTGTTGAGTGGAGCGTTTTCTGAAAGAACGACAGTGCCATTGGTTGGATTGATGATGTATCTAATGTCAATTGATGGGACATTATCATTAACATCTGTAATATTTACCAGCACCGTTGCTTTTGCAGGCATTGATCCACCATCACTTGCCAAAACAAGTAATTTATGGCTCGGTGCTTCTTCTCTATCCAGTGGTTCTTTGATTGTGATAAGTCCAGTGGTAGTGTTAAGGTGAAATAGTCTCTTGGCCATATTTGAGATTAGATTGCTGAAGTAGAAGTGAATCTTGGCATTTTCACCAATGTCAGCATCTGTGGCATGGAGCTGTGTCACTGAAGTACCTACAGGAGCATTTTCTGGTATACTAACTTCAATTTCCTGCTCCTTAAAGACTGGATGATTGTCATTTGTATCAGAAACACTTACTTGCAAAATAGCAGTACTAGATCTTTGAGGAAAGCCACCATCTTCAACCTTTACTTTCATCACATAGGTATCCTTCTCTTCCCTATCTAACTCCTTTTGTACTATTAATTGAGGCATCTTATCTCCCTCTGATGTTTCAGTGACATCAAGTCCAAAACTATTTTGGCTCTGGAAAAAAAAGAAATGAAATATACTTTTACTTACATTAATATATTAATAAAATATAAAATAACATGTTCACCTATGTAATGAGAATAATTTTCAATTTCTTGAAGTGATATAATACAGTAGAATAAGGCCAAAATATAGTGTCAGAAAATTTTTATTCTAAGTCTCAGCATTACAACCACAATCAAGTTGCTTGATTGCTCTGCATAGCTGTGAAATTACAGAGTTGTGCTGAAAGGTATAAGATAGATAGATAGATAGATAGATAGATAGATAGATAGATAATTTTATATATTCTAATACATTTTAAATGCAAAAGTTGCTGACATGGAGCAGCTAGAACATGTTCTGCCAAAATTTTAGTGTGCAGCATAGCATTTTGTGGTAGTAAATGTAACTCATTTATATAAACTAGTTTTCAAAAGGAGAAAATACACAGAATTTTAAAAAACAATCGTCACCAAACTTCATATGATAAATGAAGCTATAAGTGAATTAAACATTGCAGGAGACTGAAATATTAATTATGCCCCAAAGCACGCTATAAGCAGTGTAAAGAGTTAACCCCACAATTTGCTTATTGAATTGAGTTCAGCCAAAGCCTACCTACTGAGGTCAGAGTAACTCGCACCCAAATTCTGTTCCCACAATTAAAATCTTCTTACTAGAAGGACAATGCTCTAATTACAACCATATATTTTGTCTATTCTGTTCTTAATTCAAGCATGCTTTGTCTTGCCCTTCACGAGCCTTGCTTACATTAATTTCCATAGAAATTGCATGATTGCTTGTCCTCCCACATAGTTCTGCCCTTGCATATAGCTCACCTTTATCTCAATTGATTACCAATAAATATCAGTGGCTTGGACTGGCCAGCGCCTTTGTCAGTTGCACAGGCATTGGTCATCCTGGCACCCCGCTTTCTGTCTCTCTTAGTTCTGTCTTTAATTTTTTGTCCCTCAGGCCTGCATTGTACACTGGGCAGGAGACTGGTGCCTACTGCAGAGGTTTCTGGTAATATTTCAGGGGTCCCCAGTAACCCATGATTAATACAAATGAATTAAAATGTTTTTAATGTCAAATTCAGTTGTTTAAAATGCCTTTTTATCTCCAAAAATAACCAGCAAGTATAAAGTATTTATCAAAGACAGTAACATAAGAATTGTATCAATAGCTACAATATTAAAACCTTTGACAGATGGAGAAAATACACAAACATTGATTAAAATATAAACTTGTGTAAAATGCACAAATTTTCTTTTAGAAATAAATGACAAAAATTAAATGATCTTGGAGACTAACAACACAATGTTATTTTACTATCCTTTTTTAATGAGCGAGTACAATGAGCCAAAACACATTTCCAAACATAAATTTGGAAATGGCAGCTTGGAATACTACAGTACATATTTTCTCTTCATGAAGTCAAGGTATGAGGATATTTAAAAACCAGTTCCTTTTCTGAACTACAGTAAAATAAGACCATGAGGGACAGTGATCATACTAGCTCACAGAAGAGTAATATAGACTGGCTCTGAGGTGTAGATATGTCAAGGCTTAGTTGTAGAATTTTTAACAAAATGAATAAGATAGAAATTCACTAGAGGGTGTGAAGAAAAGATCTGAAGAGGATTGTTAAATTACCTGTCACATGTGATTTTTGAATATATATGTATATATTTATATGCACATATACCTGCATATATTTTTTGACAAATGAACCAAAAAACATACATTGGAGGAAAAATAGCCTCTTTAATAAATAGTATTAGGAAAACTGGCTATCCACATGCAGAAAATTGAGTATAAACTGATATCTCTCACCATGTACTAAAATAAAATTAAACTGGATAAAAATCAAAATGGTAAAACAGAAACACTTAATTTGCTGGAAGATAAAATACACAAAACTCTTTAAGTCATAGGCATAGGCAAGGATTTTCTGAACAGAACCTGGTTTGTAAAGGAAATATTACTGTGAATCAACAAGTGGGATCATATCAAATTAAAAATATTGTACACAGCAAAAGAAACAACAAAGAGAATGAAAGACAACCTACACAATGGGAAAAAGGTTTGCCAGCTATTCCTCAGACAGAGTACTGGTATCTAGAATACATAAAACCCACAAAATAAATGACCCAATCAAAAAATAGCCAAGTGAAATGAAAAGACAGTTCACAGAAGTGCAAACGGCCAATAAATACATGAAGAAATCCTCAACCTTGCTGGCTATTACAAAATAAAAATTAAAATATCACTGAGAATCCATCTCAGCCCAGAAAGAAATGCCATCATCAAGAAATCAAATCCGGCCGGGGATTTAGCTCAGTGGTTTCGGGTTTTGCTGCGTGCTGTGCAAGCACAAGGACCCGAGTTCGATCCCTGGTACAAAAATAAATAAAAAAAAAAAACCAAGAAAAGACCTGTACAACTGCCCTTCATTTCAAGAAATAGAACTTTAGGGCTGGGGATTTAGCTCAGTGGTTTTGCTGCGTGCTGTGCAAG